CCCTAAATAGTAGCTTCCATTTTCTTTTCCATTATCCCTATATAACCCCAATGTAAGCTATAATCTAAACTCCTAGTATCCCCCCCTAATAGTCCCTATAGTAGTCCCTCATATAATCATGTAACCCCTACAAGGAGTTTAGACTACTTGGAGGCCCATGGGACTTAGTAACCACTTATAACTGGGATTATAACCCTACTTATAATTGGGGTAACCCGTATAAGACCTTTTAGGGGGATTATAAGTATGGTTATAAGCCCAGTTATAAGTAATTACTAAATCCCATGGGCCTCCAAGTATAGCACATATAACCCTAATATCACCCCCAAAGCCTAAGCCCTAAACCCCAGGGATGCCCAGAGCTCGTTTCTTGTGGCTGCATGGTGTAAAGCTCAACAGAGCCATAGAAATCTTATCTTACTGGTTCTTAGCAAGGGGAATATAGGAATAGGGTTTAGGGGGAATAGGAATATGTAGAATATAATATAGGGTTATATATGGAGATACTTGAAAAGAAAATGGAAACTACTATTTAGGGTTTAGGGTTTGTAGGGAACATGGGAAGATAGTATGTAGGGACTATGTGAGGATTATGTTCCCTTATTCCCTACTACGAACCGGTAAGTTATCTAGATTGTGATAGTTGTACTTGGAAGGCCGCCAATTTAGGTCTCATTAAGTAGGCAAGAGGAAACTTCTCGCGATTGCCACCTAGCGACTTTCTTGAGAGAGCAGGATGCAGCTATGTAGCTAAGCTCCTTCCTCTTGTTATTGATATGCTACCATCTCGAAAAAGAACGACTGCCGAGGATAGGCGCCCGTGAATGCCTTTATGGGTGGTTGTCAAAATTATGGTCCCTTTTTGGGTCCCACAAATATTAGGTGCCGTATTATAATAGGGATTTTTGGGACCATAATTTTGACAACCACCTTTACATTGCTGCATATTCTGATATTGCGACCGCACCTACGACTCCCATCCCAGACCCCCAAAAGGATCTAAAAATTAGATCCCCTAGAACCATAGGGTGAATTCCACAAGGATTATATAGGGGCTATAGTGGGTCTATATAGGGGATCTAATTCTTAAATCCTTCCAGGGGTCTGGGGTACTTATACTTGGGCTTAGAAGTCATGAGGTATAAGTACTTAAGTAATTGCCAAATCGCATGGGGCTCCATGCATTCTGAGTACCACACGTCTGGCTTGAAGCCGTATCTTGGCCTCAATCAATTCTGCGGTGACGGGTTGAATACAGTAGGGCGTCTGGTGTCCGTGAAGCACTTATTCCTGTAGTTCCCTGTTTGGGAACGTCTCTAAGTCATCTTTGTATGCACACCCCTTGACCCCGCAGCTACAATTTTCTGTGGTCACGGTACTACACCCAAAAAATACGTACCTAAATATGAAAGGCTCCTGCAAAACTGCAGCTAACTACTCATGTTGTGGACACTCTACATCTCTACCATTCAACGGTCTCTAACCAAGATTCTTCTAGTACCCTTAATTGGGGATATAGGGCCCCCAATACGGGGTACTGAGGCCCTAAGAGAGGGTAGTCGGAGGGCTAGGTAAACAAAGACGGCCGGCAACTGAACCCTAAACCCTAAACCCTAAAGCCTAATCCCTAAGCCCCCATGAGTCCAAGCATGTGCACGAAGCAGAGCAGATTCAGGAGGCCCTATTCTGTTAAACGGCCCTAAACCCTGAACCCCTAAACCCTCAACCCTAAACCCCTAAACCCTAAACCTTAGACCCTAAACCCAAAACCCTAAACGGTCTAGGATTTAAGTTTTAGAATTGGGGGGTTCAAGGTTCACGGCCAAACTTTAGGGTTTAGGTTTAGGGTTTAGGGTTTAGAAAAAGGCCCAAGGATCTGCAAGGTAGCCTCGAAACTGCCTCGCCACTTTCGGCTTTGGGTTTTGTGTGTCTTTAAGCAGTTTTGGCGGTGGTACTAACCTCATAACCTCATGCACCCTAAACCCGAAACCTAATACAGCAGGTCCATGTCTCTTGTTAGAACAATCTGCCAGTAAAATTGCCCCATCATGATGCTGAACGACAATGGCTACATGGGACAACAAACATGGCGCATCAGTAGCTGGGGCGGTGGCAGAATCCTGTTCAGTGCGCGCTCTTGGCACAGAGCCTGGCCAATCAAGTTTAGGGTGCAGCGCTTAAGGCTTTTTGCTCTAGGTCTCAGGGCTTATCGCTTCGGGCTCAGGGTTTATGGTGAAGGGATTTAAGGTTTGAGGCTGTTGCATTGATCCCAGGCACAAGAAGAATCTTGTAGAAAGGCTTCTTGCATAGAGGTTACTCAAAAGGCTTTTAGGCTGCCCTTCAGGTTTGGCATCTGCGATGTAGGGAGGCAATACGAAACAATGGTTGATGTCTGTGTCCTCTCTCGGCCTTAGAAACTGACTCTTTGGTGTCCAAGGTCGGCATGAAACGCTGACAACTGCTCCCTAGTTCCTCAAGCTCCAAACGCAGGCCAATTTGGATCTATTTTTCTGCTACCGTGTATGGAGCCGCTCGAATCTCGCAGCAGCATCGCATCCCACATCCTGAGCCACCTTTCCCAACCCTAGTTCCCACTCGCCTGTTCTCTGCTCCATTTTGAGTGGTGCCATGCTTTCCGCTCAGGATAAAGCATGTCCAAAATAGATACCCTGAAAGTATGCATGGAATGAACAAAAGGTCTACGGATTCAACCCTAAACCCTAAACCCGACATGTTGTGGAACGGTATGACACTCTTCGCAATAGCTCCCCAGGCTCTTGAGTGACCTCAAGGTGCCCCAAATAGACCGCCACACGGTTAAGGGTTTAGGGTTTAGGGTCTGTTTCTCCAATCATCTTCCATGCCCGTTCCCTGCAAACCCAGCCATATTAAGCCTTCAGATTTCGTATTAGATGCAGCTCCATAACCTTAAACCTTGAATCCTCAACCCTAGGTCCTTAACTCCTAAATCCTCAACCCCAAGCCCTAAATCTTGACGGCTTACAACTTTTAAGACCTAAACCCTGAACCGTAGACCCTAAACCTTGAACACTAAACCTTTGACCCTGAACCCTGAACCCTAAACCTAAAACCCTTAACCTTAAACCCTAAACCCTGAACCCTAGACCCTGAACCCTGAACCATGTGAAAGCTCGCTTCTGGGAGGCCTCAATACCTTGCATCTTCTGCTCCAGGGACATCTTAGCCCCTGAGCTGCCAGGGACTGAAGGCAGGGTCTAGGGTTTAGAATTTAGGACTTATAAGGTTTAGGATTTAGGGTTTAGGACTTGGAGTTTAGGATCTTAGGTTTTTTCGTCACACCTTTGCTGCAGGATCTGCGGGTTTTGGGGCTTGGGATTTTGGAGTTTGGGGTTTAGGAGGGCTCAGGGGAAGTCAAGCCAGGGCACAATACCCTTCGAGTTGGACCATACCAATCAGGGGGCTCAAAAGTTGGGATGAAGGTAGGTGGGCTGGAGGATCATTAGTATATACTCTACTATATTGGGGCTTATTTCCTATAGCCCTCCTTCCTTCATCCCACCTTTTGAGCCCTTAGAACCAAGGCTCCGAGCATCAGGCCTTAGGCTTTAGTTAAGGTCTGTTCCTTCATTAAAAGCTATTGGGCTTTCAAGGTGCAGGGCAAAGGATCTTCACCAGGGCACGAAGTGTTTAGGCGTGGGGCGGGCGGGTGGGATGGTGAGATGGGTACTTGATACTCAGATGCTCATGGGACTTAACAAGCCCTAAACCCTAAACCTAATAATGGGGTCATGACTTGCAACTCTAACTCCAACTGCGCTGACCCCTACCAGGCCGGTCAGGAGCATTCCAAACGAGGTTTAGGGTTTAGGATCATCTCTACCCATTGCTGATTCCTTTGAACTAGCTTGTTTCGGTTGAGCGAAGTACGATTCACGTCTCTTGAAAGCATGCAAGGACGAAAAGGAAGATACAAGCTTACTCCATATTAAAGACTGTAGTTCTCAAAAATAAAGCACAACCCCGCTCTACAACCCCTATCAAACCATATCTAACTCCTATACAACCCCTATATAATCCCTGTATAATTCCCATATACTGTAGATACCTATATATCCCCTAAACTCCTAGTATCCCCCTGAATAACCCCTATACTACGTACTCCCCTGTATCATCCCCCATATAGCCCTACCCTAAACCCTACACCCTCTTTTAAGGAGTTTAAATCATAGCTCATATAACCTCTATCTGTGTCACTCTTGTAGGAGAGTGTCTGAGCGTCAGGCTGTGGAGACGGTGTCGAAAGGCAAACTAAGGACTCTAGAGGGTTTCTGAATGCACTATCAAGGCACTGTGTAGAGATTGGTAGAGATTGTATAGGGTTCTATAGGGTTATTTAGAGATTATGTGGGGTTATCTAGGGGTTATAGGGTTAGATTGGCTTGCATAAGATAGATTTCAGTATAGTGTCATGCAGGCTTGTATAAGGAGGACCTCCCAAAAAAGGACCCTGAATAACACCTAGAGCAGTCCCCTACATAATCCCTTCTATAACAACCTAAAGCCTAGACCCTAAACCCCAAACCCCCGTTAAGGAGTTTAGATTATAGCTCATCTGGTTAGGCTGGCTCCTTTTTTGGTCCATCGAGCGCATCCCAGGCTTCGTCCAGCTGTGCCAGCGGGTGGTCGACTGGCACTACTTACGGCTGATGCTAAATTCCTGCATGACCATACTATACACTATAATGTTATAATACTAGAATTCCCAAAGTGTAAGGTACTTAGGGCAGGACTTAGGGTTATGCAGGATTTCTAGTATCCACCGTAGGGTACGTTCTTAAGGGATCCCGCAAGTAGGACAGACCAGGGTTTAGGGCTTAGGATTTAGGGGATAGGGCTTGGGGTTTAGGGCGTAGGATTTAGGGCTTAGGGTTCAGGACAAGTAGATGATACTTAGAAGGGAGCCTGCAGGTTACTTCGAGGGCCTGTCCTATCTGGCGATCCCTTGAGCGGGTCCGTACCTACTCTGCTTCGTCCTCAGGCTCCACTTTGCGCACTTCTTCGGAGACATTCCTTGGGTAAGTCCAAAACCGACCCGAAAGCTCAAACTGTTAGCCTTCATACTAGAACTTGTAGTTACCCTTGACCCTTTAAACCCCGAAAGGCCAAAAAGGTTAAAGTCGGACCACAGACTACCAAACCCTCAATCCCTAGACCCCAAACCGCCAAACCCTAAACTCCTAACCCCCTAAACCCTGATCCCTATATGAACCCGAAATCTGTACGATGTAGGGTCTACACTTCCTTAGCCCCCCCAAACCCTAAACCCAAAACCCTAAACCCTAAACTCTAAAACCCTAAACCCTAAAACCCTAAACCCTAAACCCCTAAAACCCTAAACCCTGAAACCCTAAACCCTAAAACCCTAAACCCTTAAACATCTCAGATTCTTTGCTTCGAAGCCAAATGTGAACTCCCGGTCGCTCTTCTCCAGCTTCGCATCAGGTCCCAGCTCTGCCAGAAGGTGGCCATCTTTCAGTACCACCGTGGCCCCATTCCTAGGGTTTTAGGGTGCAGGGTTTAGGATTTAGGATTT